GAACACTGCTCACACTTTGTGAGTTTCCAACGCAACAACGTCAGGGCGACGTGCAGAGACCACAACTGCAGAGAGTGCCAGTGAAAAAGGAGAGAGAGTACACAGAGCGCAGTCTGGGAAGTACTCTGAACAGTAGAGATGTACACATGTAATGATATACTGTATATATATATAATATAGATACTTGATACTGTGAGAAGGACTCAGACACCTGCGCTTCATCTACTTGGTCTTTCAGCACCAAATCACGCAAACAAGATACTTTTTGCTAAAGGTGCACTTTCACACAATGTGATGATACACCAAGATCTACCAGGTGTCCATATATACTCTTTCTACTTTTGGAGCGATCCTGGCTGCCATGGACATATTCTTTCCAGCTGGGGCATCGTGCGGTGCGGGCCTGAGGGTCGCGATGTTTTGCTGTCTTGGCTGGTTTCAAGAACCACTTTTAGTATTCTTTTACAAAGCAAAAGAGACGCTTTAGATCTTGCCACAGGCAGGTTTCAAGAAACACATAGGAAACAATATATATGATAGTGTTTTTCTTTATGTCGAGCACGTTATAGATTTTTGCCACTCATTTCTGTGCCCGGAAGATATGGTGGGTTTTCTTTGGGACTCTCGACGCATGCCTGACTCCGCCGGAAGACTCCGCCGGAAGACTCCGACGCTTCTGCGCTCGATGTCGTGCGTGGTGTGTTTATTCAGTCAACGACACCGGGGACATCGCTGCTTCACATCCACAGGGACATGAAAACGCTTTTTGCGGGCCAAAAGATTGGAGAGACTGCAGGCCAAACATGTGGGGCGACCTCTCGAGAGGGCGAGCCGACTTTATACCTAGAGCCTGAGTGACCTTTGTTTTGTTTGGAGACCATATTTTGGATAGTTGATCCTCCAACGGCACCGGTGGATCGACGGGAGGTCTGTCTTTTCGTTAAAAAGAAGGACTCTCGGGTGACCTCTATTACTCTCAAGAACGTTTGCTCCAGGCGGTTTCCCCTCTTAACCCTTTTTTAAATATGTTCTCTTCTTTTTTGGGTGAACGGCGGAGTGTGCGAGGGCCCGGCAATCAGGGAACAGCGGGAGTGTGTTCCTTTTTGTAGAACAACCGTTCTGTGCAAGATCTGGGTCATTTTTGAGCGTTCCAGCGGACTCAACAAAGACTCTTCAAACCTCCTCACCACACTCAAAGAACCTTCTGAAGGCCTTCCTTCCCATCTTCAAATGTTTGAAATGCAGCCTAAGGTACTCCTCTACTCTTTTTTTGGTGCCCGGCGAAGCTTTTCTTCAGGTCCCTTGGCAAAAATCCCACAAGCCATGAACAACTCCTGCCAACTCTGTTTCCGCTCCTCAAACGGCAACACAAGAAGTCTCTTTCGGTTCTCCAAGGAAACCGAAACACTTGCTGCTAAACCGCCCTTCCTCGCAGCAGCAAGTTGAGCTTAACCTGCAACCAGGTTTTGGCACTTTTACTGGGGCACGTTATCCTGGGTGCATGCCTCCACCACAATGACACTGCTATGTGGGCCTTGCAACTGCCCAAATCCGAAGCAACTTGCACAAAGCAACCTTGGCAGCCCCAACTCTAAATGAAGTTCCTCAAAGACCATGGGCTGCATGGGGGGTAGCCTGCTAATGTTGGCCTAACACCTGCAAACCTCCACGTGCGCTTTGCCGCAAAAACCTGTCAACCTGAGCTGCCACGTGTCTGACACGAACTCTTTCGCTTCTCCGTGTGGCCACACAGAATCGGCCTTTCCGGCCCTCCGGTTGTTCCTGTGCTGTGCGCTTGACGCAGCTGTGCAGTCGGCACAACGAGTACTCGTTTAGTTTCAAGAGAGATGACATATGAGTGACCACCAGTTGACTATGGAATTGGCTTTCTGCTCTTTGGCAGTTTCATCTCGTCCGGCGTACGAGGTTGTACGTGGTTAGGAAGTGTCCCAACAGAAGATGTGAAGATGTCGTTTTTTGTAAGAGCCCTGCAGCAGGTCCAGCGGAACATCCTCCTGCTGTGAGGCAGGCGTTGTTTTGCAACAAGTTTGTTTACTGCTTCCAGAAGAACCAACGATACTTTTTGTCGAATTATTGAAGAGCTGAAACAGGATGGGCAAGAGCTGTCCATTCAGCTTGCATGGTGTGATTCCTATTAGAAGCACCTTCTTCGATTCTGGTGTTATTCCAGTCAGATGTGCTGCTCTCAACGCATTCAAATCACTTGTGACTTGTGGCAAACACCGACAGGTGCTGCTTACATGAACACATATCGCCTTGAGACTTCTTGACCTCGGCGGCCTGAAGGTGATTTGGGGTGACCTTCAGTATTGGTTCGGGACCAGAGTGGTTGAGTCTTTTCTGTTGCCAGTGACGGACCTCGAAATGCAGCATCCAAGTGACTTTAGAAAAACAAGTGAAGAACTGCAGCTTTGCGTTTTCACTGGCCTCACTTGCCACATGATGCCACCGTTTTTGTCTGTTTCAAAGGTACCGCAGATTGGTGCGGTGCCGATGTGGTCCTCTGCAGGCTGGACCGCCTAAAGCCGGCTGCAGAGCGAGCACGGAGACCCTCAACGGTTTATCAAGAGGTTGACTCTCTTCCCCCACGGCATTTTGGGATATTCTTTTGGGGGCCCTTTTTTTCAGTGGTCATCCTCTCTTCATCTCACATCCACTTGTTTCTCCGACCAAGCCGTTTAGGCCCAAGACCACGCGACACCCGACCAAAGAGACGCTTTGCATCGCCACCGAGGACGAGCTCGAGGACGAGCTTCCTATGGCTATGGCGTTCGAGCCGGAGCATGCTGCGCTGCAGGGCTTCAAGACGATCATCGAGCCCTTCCGCATCCATAGCACGCAGCAGATCCCCTTCCCCACGCGTGAGGAACGCTTGGAGGCCATCAGAAAGGTGGGGTGTGGTCAAAAAAAAAGGATACAGAATGAAACCACCCTGTAATTAGATAAGGTTGGTTCAAATCCGGTGGTTGGGGGCACAGCAGCCGTCATGTGTTCCGTGCAGAGGAATTCTGCCCCATTTCCAGCGACGACCGAAGAACCTCAGAGGTCGTAGAAATTCATCCAGCGACTCCTCGTGACTCGAGTCAGACGGCCACATCGGTCACGAGGGGTCGTTGAGTCGAGCGATCTGAAGGACTCCCCGAGTCAACTCCTGGACTCGCGGCCGCGATAACGGCTCGCGATACTCGCTGGCTCGGCTCCGACAGGCGGGTTGGAACCTCTTTGGGCTCCGAAGTGAAGATGTGATCATCGACATGCTGACCGATAGCGGTACGGGTGCCATGAGTGCACGACAGTGGGCAGGTATGATGGAGGGGGATGAGACCTATGCCGGCTCGAGGCGCGAACGTGCTCGTTTTGGCTCGGTGGCCAGTTTGCATCGGTCTTCGGTCCTCATCTGCTCTAGCCCCACTTGACTTATTGTATACATTTTATGGCTTCTTTCTGTTTTCCAGAGCCTTTCAGCTACCCCTTGCAGCAACCTGGGGGTTACAGCCTACCCACTTCTTCTTGGGGACTTCTTGAGCATTTTCGCAAGGTCAGAATGTGCTGCGTTCGCTTTCGCTTGGGCTCTCGGTTCATGGGAGGAGTTTGGGTGATTTTGGATTGGCCAAGGAAGGGAGTTGATCTCAAAATATCCATTCACACATTTCATCGGACTGTTCCAGTTCTTGCTTTCCTTTCCTAATAGTTGGATTAACTAGGCGGAATGGCTTCCACGTGGATTCCTGCTAGAGGTCTATGTCATGTATGTCTAGAACGCAGCTTTGCATCCACTGGTTCAGGTCCTACTATGCGTTTCGCGATGCGGTGCATGAAATCACTGGCTTTCAAGAAGTGATTCCTACACACCAAGGGCGTGCAGCCGAGCGCATTCTCTTTAGCATTCTCGGTGGGAAAGGTGGGCGTTTCTTCCGTTGAAACCAGAGGAGACCAAAGAGTTTGGCGTGAGTCTGTCTGGTCCCATCTGTTCCGGTTTGTCCTTCCCCCCGGCGGGTCCAGGTAAAGTGATCCCCAGCAACACGCACTTCGACACGACGAGAGCGAATGTCGAGTACAGTGGAGCAAAGGCGGTTGATTTGGTCATCCAGGAGGGCAGGATACCTTCCAGTGAGCATCCTTTTAAGGGGAACATGGATATTGCAGCTCTGGACAAGTGCATTTCAGAGGTGGGAGCAGAGAATGTTCCGGTGGTGATGCTTACAGTGACCAACAACAGCGGTGGTGGGCAGCCTGTGTCACTCGAGAACATTCGTGCTGTCCGGGCGGTGTGTGACAAGTACAAGGTGCCCTTCTTCCTGGACGCTTGCCGCTTTGCCGAGAATGCGTGGTTTATCAAGATGCGCGAAGCGTCCTGTGCGCACATGACGCCCATGGAAATCGCGAATGCCATGTTTGCACAAGCAGATGGCTGCACCATGTCAGCCAAGAAGGACGGTATGGCCAACATCGGTGGATTTCTGGCCATGAAGTGTCCGGAAGTTGCTGCCCGATGTCGAGATCTTCTCATTTTGACTGAAGGATTTCCCACCTACGGTGGCCTAGCAGGATACGACATGGAGGCCATCGCCATTGGCTTGCGTGAGGCCTTGGATCCCTTGTATTTGTGCTACCGGGCTCGATCCACGGCCTATTTGGCGGAGAAGGCCACCTCCGCTGGGGTGCCTATTATGAAGCCCGTGGGAGGACATGCGGTCTACCTGGATGCTTCCGCGCTCTTGCCCCACATCCCCAGGGAGGAGTTTCCTGCACAGGCGCTGGCTTTGGCCTTGTACGTGGAAGGTGGTGTGCGTGGCTGTGAGATTGGCTCTTTGATGTTTGGAGACGTGGCCAAAATGGAACTGGTCCGTTTGGCCATGCCGCGCCGGACCTACACACAGAGTCACCTGGACTATGTGGGGGAGGTGATTGAGCGGGTTGCAGCCAAAGCGCGCGCCAAGGAGCTGAATGGATATCGAATTGTTGAGCAGTCCCAATGGCTCCGACACTTTACAGTCAAACTTGAGCCGCTCCAAGCCTACAAGCTTTGAGAATGCAGTCAGATTGAGTGCCAACATGTTTGTCTTTCGGGCTTGAAGATTTTGCATGGAGGCACTCTTGCTTCAAAATTTTAGAGATGTACAGAGAAGTTTCGGACGCCTGCCTGATTTCAAACACTTTTGGCGGGTTGAACATGTGTGGTGGAATCTTCTGCGCCACAGGCAGCACGTGGTAGTGGCACGGCTGAACCCCAGCCGCCCTGATTTCCGTGCTGCGGCATGAAGTGAGCTCCGCACCGTTCCGAAGGACCACCGACCGGTGAAAGAGCCCTTGGCCGCACCTCGGTGAAAAGAGCTTTCACGCAATACGGTGTCACGCACCACAAAGGCCAGGCAACAGGATTCTATTCTTACTGAATATCAATACTGTGTAATTAATTAATTTGTTTTATTGTTATTTTTTCTTTTCGAAGGGTTTATGAAACTGTCCGGAGAGTCTTTTTCGGAACACGCCACGATGTTTTTCGGTCTTCCAGGCCAGAGCCGTCCGACTGCAGTTCTGGAGGAGCGAAGAGGTCCGAGATTCGGTCAGCCTTTTCTCAGAACTTCGTCACGACGTAGCTATGTGGCAAAGCATGGCAAAGCTGCTGCTTCTGAAGTCCTGAAGTCCTGGCCGACCTTAAGTTTCACTTCAATGTCCTGAACGTGTGGGCCCATCGTGCAAGATCCTTTCTCGAACACCATGAGGTTTTAGAACAAGTTGGACCATGTTTCAACCCGAAGCCTACGACACCATGGGGATCGTGTGGAGAAATTTGCCGGGTCGAACCAAGCCATGCAACTAGAGTTGTTTTCTTTCTTTTTAAGCTTCCGTCCCAACTAGTAGTTGGGTCTTCCAAACTCTTCCGTCCCAACTCTGCCGTGGTATTTTCGGAGGTTTCTTCTGTTAACATCCACCCACCTTTCCATGTTCAGCACCTTGAGACGAAGGTGCGCCTGGTGGAACCTTCACACTTCTTTGTTCTGAAAGAACAGGTTGACGATAAACACACGCTGCAAGCTGAACTATAGGTGTATGCAAATGTAAAGTGCTGCAGCCCTGTCGATCTTTCATGCTATGCTGCTGCGAGCAAAGAGCTGTCATGTTGTTCGTAGGTTGCTGTGCTGTAGCTGACATGCTGGTGCTGTCGTGTCTCTCGAATGCAACATGTTCCACTGCAACGCAAAAAACAAAGATGCAAACACCTTCATTGAACTCGAACCATTTGCTGCGCCGCTGCGCCGCTGCGCCTTGTGTGTGTGTTCTTGCATCTCCACGTGTGAAGAATAGTGACCATGCAGCGATGTTTTCCACCTGGATGCACGTTGCTTGAATCAGGGAACCCATCAGACTTAGCACGCCACAACAATACATGCATATTATGTTTCTTTACAAAGCAAACCGCAAACGCGCAAGCTCCAAGGAAGGCACATTGACTCCTTCCTAAAAGCTGGAACCAAGGGACAGACTGAACAGGCTTGGTTTAGACCGATTGAGCGACTGAGGTGTGCCACTTTGACACGGCTTGAGGATGTCAGGTGCTGGTCGTGTGAGTCTGCTGTCTTCTGTTGCTTGTGACAGACCAAACTGTATATTCATCAGAACATAGCCATGAATCCAGACGAGAAGATACTGGACAAGACTATATAAGTGCGCAATGTGCCACAGGTGCCACCAATCACGCAAGGGTCGGTTCGAGCTGTTCCAACAAGCTATGAGGCCAGGAAAGATGATCTTTCATTGTCTTTGCAAAGTGTTGAAGATCGACTCACTAAGATGTCCTTAATGGCATTGTGAGTATGTGGCAAAACAAATGCAAATGTTGTTTTGAAACGAAAGGACTGCAAATCTTGATTTGGATGGCCCGATTGTTTTCACTGTAAAGGCCAGCTACACTGCCTCCAGTCACTATTGTCAACAATCCTTGAGAATAAACATCGTTTGTTCAGCCTCGACCTTCGTGCTTTGTGAACAAACAAGTCATCCTTTGGGCGTTGCCCCAAGCATTTTGCAGGAGCAAGATGAAGATGATCAAGGGTGCTTATGTTGGGCATGTGTGAGGGGTTCCAGAGCCACTCTCTTTGCAGGCTTGGGTGGCTGGGCGATTCAAGGGATTCTACGGACCCTGTTTTTGGAGATCTGTTTTGGTGTTTGTCGTTATTGTAGAAGTAGCAGTAGTGGTAGTGACGCTGGAAACCGTCGGTCGTAGTGGTGGCGGCAGTGGTGGCAGCAAAGTGGTGCTTGTTGTGGCAGTGGGGGATGTGAGGTAGGAGACAGGTAGTAGGTGGGAGGTGAGATGGGGTGCGAAGCGGTCGCTTACTCAAGTGGCCTAGCAGATCTCTTTGGAACAAAGTACAGGTGATGGAAGCTGAGCGTGTGTGAGGGATGCCATGTTTTTCCTTTTTTGTGACAAGGTTGACTCTATTACTCTGGGGAGTGCAGATATTGTTTCACTAAAAACAGGAGTCCTCAAACATTTACTGCAGAGCAAGGGAACGCAACTCAATAAACAACTCTGTGCAATGCCAGTCTTTGTTTGCAGTCCCATTGCTTCTGTTCTTCATAGCGCTTGCGTACGACTATCACAAGGATTCGTTGATGAACGGGATTGCTTAGACATTGGTTCAATTCTGTGCTAAACACCGTGGATAGCGGATGGCTGATTTGCTGCACATACCCATGGGGACATGTGCTCCATGTTCTTGTAGGCAAAGTAAAAATTGTATTTCACCAAAAGTATGTCAGACAATGAGGTAGGTCTTGATTCATCATATTATCCGTTTTGTCGAAGAGATGGAAGTGAAACCCACGGGGAAAACACCATGATTGGGGTTTGGGCACCACTGTCGTTCACAGCCTCATGGGTTTCTGCACGCATCTGGCAATGCGCCCTTTGGCCAAAGAAAGGGATCACCAGTCCTCATCAGTGGTCTTAGAAGCATTGATTGTGCAGGTGCAGGGGGATTGTCCACCTCCCAGGAAGAGGTTATTTTTCCACTCACCCACTGACGTACTCGGCAAAATTCAAAGTTTCCAGGGAGGATGCTCGGATGTTTTTCGCCATGCGCAAGAGTTGTTGCTCATCCAAGACCTTGGCATCAATATACCGAACACGAGGGGTTTTGCTTCTGCAGTACACATCTTCAGAAAACAGCGTTGCAAGCTCCAACGCTAGGTGATGCTTTGTTTGCCTTGCACTGAGAGGATGAAACGACATGGAGCATCTCAGGGTCGCACTCCAGTGAATCATGAGTAGATTCGTAGATGAAATGCATCAAACACTCAGTAGTGGCCTGGTACCTTCAATTGCCCAACCCTTTGGGCCGACCATAGAAACCCCCACCTTCGCTCTGGAGGTTTGATGCATTTTGCTGTGAGACACCCTTGTTGTAAACTTTTTGGGTGGGATTGGTTCTACTACTCAAAGTGAACACTCAAGGTTGGGATCAGTTTTCACCTTGCCTTCTTCAACAGTCTTCAACATTGTTTGTGTAGAAATACCTGCCAGCTTGCTCAAACGGAATCTGAGACAAGGTAAAGGTGCATATGTATTGTAATTTCTTTCTTCCTATGATGTGATTCGTGCATGAAGGAGCTCAACACCCTCATCCTGAGCCACTGACAAGGCCGGGCGCGTGGCCCATGCCCATGCTGGTGCTTACGACAAAGTTGTATCTCAGCTGGATTGACGTCCTCATGGAACCCCTCCACTATGAGTTAAATCTCCTGAGTAAAATTCGCCGAGTGCAAAGAACGTTGCGCCCTAATTCCTTTGCGTGAACCATTGGAGTTTCATTTACGGCGCTCCAAAGTTGGGACACCGAAGCTTTGCAGGCACCAACCTGTGCAGACACTGTGGTGTGACATGTCCTGAAATCCTAGGAAAAACAGTAAGTGAAAACAATGTTCCAGGTCAAGTCTTTTTGGGCACCCGCATGCATCAACCATTCAGGTGCAGCCTTGGATGGATTCAACAGTTGAGGCGTTGAAGGTGACTGGAGCGACAGCTTTCCAGCAAGGCCAAACAATTCGGACACTGTGAGATCCACTACTTCCTGAAGTCAGAAGTATTCCCTCCTCAACCCACCAGCCAATGCTTTTGGCATTCGAAACCAGCTAACTCGGCAACAAACTACCTGTACCTCAGCTGCACACACATCCCTCATTTAAAGCAACAAAGACTAAAGTAAAAGACTCCCAAAGACGGAGTCCAACTCCACCAAGCCGTTCTTCCAGTATTTTCTGCGAGCTCAGGCCGATGTCACGGATGTCGTTGAGGGTAGCAATGATGGGTTTGGCGAGCATGGAGGCGGCAAGCGCTTTGTGTGTGTGAGGCATAAATCCGTGCAAGGGCCCCTGCAGTTGTCAGTGTCACTGTTGCCCTTGCTCTTCAAAAGTGAACCGGGTTCGCATTTATCTCACGCAGGTGGGCAGACCGTCCTGGACGCTACGTCTGAGTTGGCAGCCTGTCATTGATATGTATATATGTATATTCCATGCTAAGCATCCTGGATTGCAGATGGTCAAAGAACCAGTGTTGCGCAAGTTCAAAACTGCCCCCAAACTGCGTTCACTGAGTGCCTCTCGTGTTGCGCAAATTTGCTGCGAAATTGATCATCGGCTTCGAACATATGAGTTGATCGGCTACATTCTGATTGGTAGGTGTCACTAGCAGTGATAAAAACTAATGAAGCCCAGTTCCGCATGTAGCGTTTCCCACATGCGTGACCCGCAGAAGCTTTAACAACCAGCTGCTTCATGAGTTTGACCGTTTGACACGATCGCATCAAACAAGAGTAGCAGAATTGAGTGGTATGGACAAAAATTGAGTTTTTGGAAGGCAACTCAGTGTTTCCAGAGTTGTGAAAATTCACATTACACACTTTCAAACAGAACATTGTTGCACATGTTGTCGCATATGTTCTCCACTAGTCTCAGAATTCAAGCAGTCAAGGTGCCACAGATGTGCACCACCTTACACCGTGTACACCCAGGTGAGCCATATGATGTGGAAGTTCTTGGCTTTTTTCACCCTACGATTAGACGAGCAAAGGTGGCGATCTTGCACGTTGCTTGCGATGATTGCTGGCGTCGCTTGAAACGAGGACATTTGACGGATCCAGATGTTTTGGAAGGTTACATCAAGTGCGAGGACACCGTTCTTCTTTCTAAATGCGAAGATGATTCAGTACTGGCCCTAAAGCAAGAAGCCGTCAGGCACGTCAGGCAGTTCGTGACGCTTAGAAGTGCCCGCTTTCCGATCGTATCAAGGGAGCTTCATTCTGAGCCCTCAGAATTCTCACTCATGATTGGGGACGACATTTGCACCTTCAGCGTCCCGGTTGCTTGGATGCATTTCAAGGCTGCTTATTTGCCATCAGGTCCTTTGTTTCAACGCTGAAGCAGTTCGCAACATATGCATTGTTTGTACCTGTGCACAGAAGAGGTCAGCAGATTTGTATTTGTGCATAGAAGGGGTGTTTGCTGCAATCTTGTTTGGCTTGGACTTTGATCCATGCATTTGTTCTTGAACATATTCCTCCAATCATGAACTGTAGATTGGAAGATCGGGTAGTATGGATCGCCTCTGGTCATGAAGAGGCCCGATTAACTATCGAATATGTCAACAGCAGTGCAGTGAGAGCATAGAACTATATCTTGTAGTGCACGTGTACAGAAATGATACACGCCACTGACATCCATTTTGGCTCAAGCGCCCGCGTGACAAAAGGATAGTGCGCAAATCTGTGTCATGTGATCGCGGCGGTGGTCGATCCTTATTTTCACGGCAATCCTTCGACTAACACCCACACGCAGGTTATCAGCCGTACCCGCTGTGGGTACGAGCTGCTGAGAAACCATTGAACATCGTGACTGACTATGTCCAGCTCTGGTGGGAATACAAATGAAACCTATTCCTTTGCCGCTCCTGGAGGAAATCTGTCACAGTCATCTCCTGATTCGGGAATGACAGGTGTGAGCTCAAATGATGTTACCATTGTCACGATGCCAACCGACTCCGTGGCATCTAGAGAAGGAAGTGCCGTTCCCCCAGAACGTGCCACTGGATCAATATCTAGAGCTAGAGGTATGAGAAGAAACGTCAGAACCCTCAGCAGGTCTACTTCGCCAAGGTTGACTCACAATCGATCGCCAAAGAAGAGCATTGCAAAGAAGCGATCAGAAAAGAGCAACTACTAGAAGAACTCAGATCATCAACCATGGCCTATCAGTTTTTGCACGAAGAAGATTAACGCTTGCAATCTGGATGCACTGGTCTATATCAGAGATCCAAAGACGAGTTCGCAAACGTGTCCAAGTATGGACGAAGCATAGAAACACGACAGCAAGAGATGGTTCGTGAAGACGAAGGTACTACCATCGGAACCGGAGAACTCGAACACAAACTCCGACTTGCTGAACAAAAGGCAGACCGTATGGATGGAAAAATATAGAGAGCTATCTGAGGAGAGCCATGAAGAACAATCAGAATTCCACGCTATGAATAAGAAAATTGCTGCAGTGGAGCATCTTCAGCAGATGCACCTTGAACCGCCCAACATTGTTCCTTGGCCTAGACAGAGTACCTGAATTATGAATCATGAATCAAAATCAATGACAACGATAATGACATTATGACGATAATTCAAAGTGATGCGATGTGATGTAAATGCCATGTATTTAATTCATTATCACGAACCTGAATAAGAATCATCATCTTTTGAGTCACATGATGATTCATATGATTCGATTCAATTCATTGTGATCACATATGATCACTATATTGCTCCGGACCGCACTGTTATTCCAGGACAAGTTCCTCTTGTCGGATGACCATCCAGCAGTGCAAGCGGAGCTGGAGCGGCTTACTGCCAACGCGAAGCAAGCCACCAGCTGCCAAGGAGAAGTGGGTTTCACTTCACATGACAGTGGCAGAAGAACGTCGCTAGCCGACGTAATCTGTTTGTCAGAAAAATGAAGAGTGTGCGAACAAAACAGAGGCAGACAGTGGATTTTTGCAAGAAACCCAGATCCGAATGTCTTCAAAAGCAGGGACAAGATCTTGACTGGAGAGCGACTACAAGATGCAATTCAAAACTATGGTTATGGAACCTAGGCGCCAGGCGTCAGCACGCGGCACCAGCGCGAAGCGCAATCTGCAACGTCGCCCACACAGGACATGATGAAGGCAAAGCCATCGTCAGCGTCAGAATTATCTCCTCGGACGTATAGTTCCGTGGAGGTCTCTGATCCCTCTCGTTTAACTCCTCCTTACTGCTGTTGATGCTGGCTGTTAATGTCCTGATTGTTTACTGGTCGTATGAACTTTCTCCTGCCTTACTGACCATGTCTGGGCATTCTCGAGCCTTGGGCTTTCTCCCACCCACCCTCTCCATTGCAACAGAAACGCAATCTGGGAAAATGAGGTTGGGGAAACTGCATCCAATGTGACCAATATGGACTTAACCCCTGTATTTGGTCTCTCACTCTATGTACACAACTGTCTCCCCACTGCCTAAGTCTAAGGCTCAAGAAAAAGACTTGGTTTGCGCGCGCGCTCGATGCGTGTTGCATGGGTTGTGCGCTCGATGCGTGTTGCGTGGGTTGCGCGCGTTTATTTTAGAGTTTTTGGCAAGAATCAAAAACGTTTGTTTGGCAAATTCATAGTATACAGCTCAGTCAGTTTCAAGGCCGTCCGGCCGTCCGTTCTTTTTCACGTCTTGGAAGCGCCCCGCTACTGCTGAACTTGCCACGACTGGTGGCATCCTGCACGAAGAACGTGATGAAGACCATGTGGACCGTGTGCGCCTGTGTATGTGCTACCGTGGACTGAATGTCCAACCAACATTCGCTGAATCCATCACGTCGGGTTTGAAGACTGTGGAACGCAGAAAGTATCCACTTGGAAGCCGGGGCACCACAGCTTTGACCCTATGCTTTTCATTAAGCGTGAAGGTCAACAGATCGTCTCGATGATATTGGTATACGTGGACAACTTCATTGGAGTCTACAGGAGTGGTTACCCCATTGAAGAGGTCAAGAACGCCTTTGCTTGGGGCTCCTTCCATGACCTCTCCCAGCAGGTCGTGACCTTCAAGGGAAAAGATCTGCGCTTGCACCAGCTTGCAAACAAGCGTTGGAAGCTCAAGATCACAATGTCCAAGTTCCTCAATGGACTGACACCAGCCAAGCTTCCAAAAGGAAGGACTGCAAGTTCTCCAGAGCTCACACCAACGGAACAACGTGAGTTCCGATCGGTGTCAGGTTGCTTGCAATGGGCATCCACACAGTGCAGACCAGAGATAGGAGCGGCGGTAAGCCTTTCAAACCAGGGCAGCGAAACCACATGCCACAACCTCAAGGACCTCTACGAGGCAATGAACTTTTTGAAGAGCACACCACACGAAGGACTTCTCATGCAGGACATCCCCGTGAACACCAAGACGGTGATCGTCACCTACAGTGATGCCTCTTGGAGCAATGCCGCTCACAGCGGATCCCAGATTGGGATCATGATCGGACTGTGCCCGCCTGAGGTTCGATCTATGCCAACAAGCTTCACTCCAATAGACTGGAGATCGTGCCGAGCGGCGCTAGTATGTCGGTCCACACTGGCCGCTGAGGCTTCCGCGGCCGACGAAGCAAGCGACCGAGCTGCATACGTGAACATGACCCTCAGTGAGATCCTGTTTTTGATGGCCCGGCTCATCGACTGGGATGCCGAGTGGACTACGCCCAGACCACAGACGCCAAATCGCTGTATAACGCCTTTTGCAGCGAGGCACCAAACCTCACGGACAAGCGCTCGCTTTGCAACGTGCGGGCGATCCAGGAGACTGTGGACAAGTCGCAGATGCACTGGCTCCCCTCGAACTGCCAGTTCGCTGATGGGCTGACAAAAGTCAGCGAGCTGCTGCGGACCACCTTTAGGAAGTGGCTGAATGCACCCTTCAGCATTTTGCTCAACCATCCGGCCAACGAAGGCCTCGAGAGCGGAATTGCCAGTTGTACCAAAGAAAAAAAGACCAGTAAGAGTTTGAAGCCACCCGATTGCCACGTTGGTACTACCGGCCCCTTTCATGCTCAATCCTAGGGATCCCTGAGCTAACGCTCTTTGCACTTCGCCCTTTCGCCTGCGGTGAAATGGCGCTTGGTTTTTGAGAGCTTTTGTTTTCTTGACCTTTGAATTGGTCGTTGACAAGAGTTTTTGTTCCTGACCAGACAGCTTGGAGGAGGCCTGTACCCTTCCAAAAGATCAAATTGGGAAACCCTTGCCCGCTTTTTCGAGGACACCGATGTAAACGATGTTTGTGAATCAGGAATCGGAAGCCCTCCTAGCGCTGGAACGACGGGTTACTATCAGTTACTATGCGCTGCTAATTTAGTGAGATCAATCATCGATGAGCCAAGGTCTTGCACAACGTTGAGGAATTTCAAACAGCGCCCTTTGTGAAGGAGATCGACTTTGACTGGGAAGACGGTCGCAAATACTTAGACATAGAACTGGACGATACTGCCATTTGTTTGGTAGGGGATGACATTGTGATGATGAGCAGCAAATCGGTACACCAATCAAACTCGTTGGGATTCGAAGTCCTGGACGACTATGATGCCCCGGCTTTGCCTGCTGGCATGGTGCCTATGGGTCCTTTGTTGAGACTTTGGCCTGAAAATGTGACCTTCTCTGAAGAAATTCATGTAGTCATGCCCGTGTGTCGTGGTGCGAAGAATGCTTGGTGCACCACTGACAATGGCTGGAAGCAGGTGCCTGCTCAGATAAGACAGGGCATCATGATCACCTCTTTACACCACTTTTGTAGTATGCAGCCTGCTGGCGAACCGGTGGCAATAAAGGCCTTGGGTTACATCAAGCAGCCAAGTGCAAAGATAGTTTTGGCACACGTTGGCTGTGTCGAGTGTATGTACACCCTGACAAAGTGTGAGAACGATCTTGACATGCTCAAGGACTTTACAAAATGCAGCGATCCAGAGCAGCTGGGCAAACGTAACGATGGTGATAAAGTGGAGCTCTCGCAGCCAGGAACTTTCCAAACGACGATCCAGTTGAAATTTCAGAAGTTTCCCGTTGTCTCTAAAAAGCTCTCAGCTCAGTCTGGGAGTTTCAAAGTTCAAGTTGATGACGAACCTTACGAGTTTCAACTGGACAAAGATGCGGACAACGCAGAGGTAGCTCGTCCCAGACAACATGCAATCCACCGCCCGCTTGAGGTCAGGCTTAAGTGGGAAGAGCCTGTTGTGATTGAGGTGGATCTTTCAGAGCTGCTGACGAAGATGGACCCAAGGTTGTACAAGGACCTTGCCCAAGAAAGGGGAAAATGGCATCAAGTCTCCGAAGACCTCTTTTTTCACATCTGGACAGATGCCAATATTGCTAGACTTAGAGCACACGTTGCACAAAGGTCTTTGTGCTTGGAGCATGTCGAGCAGGTCACATCCTACTTGGTGCGAAGAATCTGCGTTGCCTTGGGCCTGGCCTTCTCTTCTGACACGGCTAAGAACCTTACCAAGATCGTCCGCTGCAAACAGGCAGGAAGTCAGCAACACCAACAGACTGGGTGAATATGTATGTGGACCACCCAAAGATCCCTGCAAACAAGAACTATAGTATATAATTAGATGAAAACTGATTGGTTTGGCGGTCCCGCTCTTTTGAGGCAGACTGGTAGTGCTTAAGGATCTTCCGCTTAAGGATCTTCCAGATATAGTGTATCAATCAAAGACATCCATCGGAAAAAGTTGCCAGAAAGCTATTCTCACTGTTGGGTGTGCAACACAAGTTCTTTTCTGTACGATCACCCAGCCTCTCCGTATCCTGCACTTGTATTTTTTGACATTGAACCTCTGCACAGGTCACAGATTCGCGATGGTATGACATCTTTCGACACCGTGTGTTCAGTACAATCAATTCCTGTGCCAAGCGTGGTGCTAGCCACATTCTACTGGTGGGCGTACAGCCAAAGATGCTGAACTCAATCACTGGGGAAGAGCTCCGCCGTCTTGACGAAGATCTGAAGCATGCATCTGAGAAGAAGAGCTTTGACTTCTATCACTTGCTTAAAGGTATGGAACGCCCCATTGACAAACTCGAAGGGGAGCTGCAGCAGTGGCTGCGAGAAGATACAAACCACCAGGTCGTGATCGTATCCTGCTGCGAGGACGATCAAGAAGAAGCCCAACGTATTTGCAAACGCCTCAATGAGGGGCTGGATGTATTGGAATACGTTGATGCATTGAGTCCAGAGGAAGTCATGTTCAATCTGAGCATCACTGCCATCAAGAAAGTCCTTACGCAACTTGGCCAGGATGGATTTACGATGCCTGCGGAGAAGCTCGGCGAAGCCATGAGGATGCTTGGGATGAGTGCGACAACGATGAAGGCCAGAAGAAGTTGTTTCAATTGGGTTTTAGCCTGCCTGTCACATGGCTCTTCCTGTTGCTTCTGATTGAGGCCCACTTATATATATAACTCCCGATATGAAGCTGTTCGGATCTATTTATTGCCCAGTTGATTTGATTCGCGTATATGATGTAAATATGCAGTTGTTCCCAGTGCTTCCGACAGAGGTGTCCACGCCATCGACCAAACCGATTGGCATCCTTACCCTGCACGATCTTTTGCTCGAAGACCTGAAGAATTCGGCTGCAGATCCTTACAATGTGCTCATGAAGTTCTTGAGGCTTTTGGATGGAGATTGCAAGGACACCATGTCTGTTGCGGAGCTGAAGCGTTTCCTCGGAGTTGGAGGTATGCGATCGGAGAATGAGCTTGAGGCCACTGTTTCAGCAAAGAGATTTCGGCAGGCTGAGATCCCACTTTCAAAGCTCAGAGAAGCGTTATTTGATCCAGAAAGCCAACAAAAGCTGCTGAACGATCAACAAACGACCAGTCGAATTTCTTGGGCAGTGGCTGACCGGAATGCCTTCCAAGTCTTTGATGGGCCTTGGAGTGCCATAAATTCTGGAACAAAGGTGGCGGCCAATTCTGGAGCACAGTCCTCTGCAGGAGAGGATCACAAAGATTCCGTGGCTGTTGGAAGAGAGACTGGCAGAATCTCAGTGCCAATACCCGTGGCTCCTGCAAATGGCAAGCACTTGTTCCTTTCTGGTCGATTCAATGATCCAAAGAGCAAGAGCTACATGAGAGCAGTCAGAGACGAACTTGAACAGTTGGGAGTCCAAACTTACATGGTGGAAGGACAAGGAGCTGGTGGCGACTTTGCCCCAGCTACCATTAGAGGCCTCTACCATGCCATCGCCATGGTGGCATTTTGCACCCGTGACTATGGCCAGAAGACCAACGTGGGCTACGAGACCTGGAGAGAGTTGAAAACTGCACACGAAAGGGACATTCCCATCATTCCAGTTCAACTGTGCGATACCTATCCGCCAGAACCACCAGACGAGGAGGGTCGACAGCAAAATTGGTTCGTTCTTGGTCCCAGTCGCATCAAAATCAAAGACGTGGGGTCAAACGAACCTGCCAGGGTAGCGAAAGACGTGCAAAGGACTTGGCTGAATTTAACCAGGCGTTGAACAAGTCCTGCTGTGTGAGTGCTCAGGACCAGAGAACAGAACCTGAATTGTATAAGTATATGGGTAAACATTGCAAGAACTTTGTATTTTGTTGCTTATGTTTGCTCCTTATTTGCTTTTGCGTAGCCGTTCGTGGCTGTTCAAAGCCCACGGATTCCGGGCAGCTGGAGGTGCGAAGAGAGTTGGGAGATCCGTTTTGCCGTTTTCATGCTTGTTCGACCACAGGAAGTCGTGGAGTAGGTTGTTTCTTTTTTGCGAAGGAATACCGAACCAGAAGAGAAGATGCCAAAGCAGGAAGGAGACGTGCAATGTTCTTCTTTGTTTTCTGACCCGTTTGTTCGATCCTCGGTTGGGGGCTGCGGAACTCGCCGGGTTGGGAGACGTTGCAAGCGTTTTACATGTGAATCAGGAAGACTGGCTTTCAAACTTTGCACGGGCTATAGAGGTGCAGCGAACTCTACAGGAAGAACATCCTACTCATGTATTTCGTGTCGCCAAGACCAAGCACGCAACCAACCGAGTAGTCTTTGACCCTGTGCGACACTGAACTGCAGGAATTGCGTTCTCCCGGCGTAGGCTGCTCATCCAATCCCTGAATTGGGGACAGTCATCCATCGTAAATTGCATTCCAAGTAAACATTGTCAGTTTCCACTCTGACATACCTTGGCATCACTGCGTCAGTTCCAGAACGCAGATTTGCGGAGCTCTGACGAGCGGAAATACGTTGGGGAGTATCGGCTTGAGGGCCTATAGAGGTGGGAACTACATTATCAGGTGCATAGTGAACCTCCTGAAGCTCTTGTTGATTCAACCCTCAACACATTTGTCTTCGTGTTGCAGTGTCAGGTGAAATGAAACAAGGCGGGGATGCTCAGCTGCTTGCATCATGGCATCATGGCATCATGGCTCGTGCTTGCCTCAAGCTCATTCTGCCTCTTCACAATCCTCACCTTTTGATTGCAATGGCCCATTTCAATAATCAAGTCCTATGTTTTGGGGGGGCTGCTTATGGCTGACTTCCCTGTTCACTCACAGCCAGGCAGCCTTCTCCTCATGGAGTCGCAAGTCTTCATCCCGTCACCCGTTTGGACCCGACCTCGTTTTCAGGATCAGCCAACGCCTTTGGTCGCGTTACCTTCATAGTCCGGCTCATCGAACTGTTCCTTTGCCCTCATGTTCCGGATTCCTCCTCAGATCATCTCATATCCTCTCCCATGCACCAAAAACAGCCTTCCGGCCGGTCATGTGCCTTCCAGTGTTGCTGAGTGCTTGGACCTCCAGATGCATTCAGCTCGAAGGACACCAAGAGCGCCCTTGCTGCTGTCCTTTATCTTTGCACCTCTCGTGGTCCCCAGATGCATTTGGCAGTGCTCTTGATTGAGTTTTAAAGAGCGCTTTCCTCAAGAAATATCAAGCTTTAAACGCTTTGTGGGGAATTGTATCTGTTTATTTGTTTCGTGCAGTTTTGTTTGCCACAACAATCTCACTATCCACTTCATCAGTTCCATTTGGATCCGCAGCGTTCGTGGAATCCCCTACGTCTGCCCGTTTGCAAAGACTCAACCACTTCACTTTGCACATCTTCGCACTTTGGCACCTTCTTTCATTTGGATTGGTTCATCAGTTGGTTGCATTTGGCTGAAGGTCAAGCCCAGAGCTTCACTTATGCCAACACATGATATGACTGGTGTTTGACAGTGAAACTCACTAGCTTCGACGCAAATTCAACGCAATGCGTAAAGGCCTTGAATGTTGGACTCTGCCCCCCAACCCGCAGCCACAGCGCCACTGTGAGCCCTGTAAGACCCAGATCTTTTGGGATGGAACCCGGGAAGACCACCTCAGCTATATATGGCCACTGGTAACTAAACATTACATGTTTTTCTTTAACACGGATGTAAGAAGTCGTTCTTTTTCTTTGACATGACATACTGCCAGCGGAGTAAGCTTCTTTCACCGAGGGCTTGAACCCTCAGACCCTCCACAACCTTCTTTAACTTGCTGCAACTATGCCCCGAGGCCTTTAGACGCCTTGGGGGTTCTTGGGCGGGTTGGCTGCCAGCAATGGAAATGCACCCGTTTATTGCTCTGGAGGATTCGGTTGGACAAAGCGCTAGTTTAGGATCTTGTACGCCAGTACAAAATGTCACACATCATTGTCATTATTGGTTTTACCAGAGGGTAGAACAATGGTTTGCATGTTTGGTAAAACAATTCTTAATTTTGTGGGATCCTTCTGTTCTGGTTCAGTTCAGCTGCAAAAGATGAGAAGACACCCAGGACGGACCAAGCATCCCGACCATGAACCAGAAGACAGCCAATTCGCCATTCAACTATGACCCAGCCACATCCCGACTCAGCCAAAGATTCCTGAAGACCGAAGTCGAACCCCACCAGACTGCTTTAGCTCTTGTTGAACCCAATGTTGTCCCACTGTGAGGGATGCTGCTGATGCGCATGATGGGTTCGGTCCACAGTTCACATCAGCGTGGGATGATTCAATTCACTTCTTTTGCAAGACCCATCATTGATAAGCAACGATTGCATGCTCTTGCTTTATTTTGAATTCAACAGATGTAGCGAGCTTGTAAGGCACAAACAAGCCAAGTGAATCACAAGGTGATCGAGGGTACGGGTAGAGAGCCTCCCAAAGACGCAGACAAAGTTCTACCTTTACCTGCGCAGCAGCATCCGTGGCAACAAAAATCATAATGACATAGGTGACCCACAGTGATGATGTTGGAATACACGAAGAGAAGACATGGCATGGGGAGGACCAGCGGAGTTCTCCTTAACAGTCAACAAGTTGAACAGATTTGTAGAGATTGCAACTAAAACTGAAGACAAAAGTCGACGCTTTGGAAGTTTCCTTTGGACTCGTTGCTGCAGCTGTGAGCCTCGCTTGGAACTGTTTAGAGTTTAAAATGCTTGAAGTTTGGGACAGACATGGCAAGACAGTCCCTCCGCAAATCACCTGTGCCCTTTGTGAGAGAACCGCATGTGAAAATGATGCCATGCCATGCAGTTGTTGCGCTGATTAGGATTGAACCACACACTTCGCATTCCACCCTGGCCTTGTTTTGATAGCCAGGACCACACAGGAGCGACTAGAGAATGTCTTTTGGACATTTGTGCATGTTTTTAGAACAGAACTCAGGCCTGAACCTAATTCTTTTCAGTGCAAAAAGTTGTGATTATACCTTGCAACTTGCATAGTTAGAAGGCGGTCAATGTTCTTTTACTGGACCGCGGGTCTAACAAACTCGTTAGATTACATCGTAGCTGCCGCAACAGCTCGGTTCCCCGGAATCTATGTCGTGAATTCCTTGCCGGCAGCAATGCCTGGCTACTTCACAGGTGGGCCGTGTGGAAGGAGGTGGCTCTTGAGTTCTGGAACATTTAACGGGCGGTTTTGATCGACTTCTGCAGGTGAAGTGAACAAGCGTGCCTGCTCATGAGAGAGGCAAGGGGAGCTTGAGAGTTTCATTGCGTCAGGCACTTGAGAATCAACCCTACTTCCACGTCTTTTGGAAAGCAGGGCGATTGCTCCATCCTAGTTTCCAGCTGCGCGAGGCTGTGGACATCGCAGCCACGACGCGAACTCGGCCGCTCCAGGAACGGGAGAGACAGATCGACAGATCGGCTGGTGTCAAAAGCACCTCACCATCGTTTTCGTCATGTGGCGGTTGGGACCTCATTTGGTCCAGGAGACGTTTTTTGGGAGAGCAGCGCCCCTTTCTATTGCGAGGGCCATTGGTGGAATTGCGGTTGAATCGCACAGAGTTTGTTGAATTTGATGAGTATATTGATGATATGGATACATTGGATACGTTGATAGGTGGTTATAGGTGGTTGCTCGTTGGCGCCTGTTCAGTCGTAAATTTGTGCAGAGCAAGCTCTGGAGCAACTCTGACTCTGAGATTCACTTAATCAACTGTGCATCTGGCGCGACCGGAGAAAAATCGAGAACGCCCAAACGCTGAACGATCACCGGTCGAACGCGCCTGCCTGCCTTTGTGGAAAAAAACGATCCATTCGGCGCTTCAGCCGAGCTCTTCAGCCCGTCGAACGAAGTTCAGCCCGTCGAACGGGTCGCACTCTGCCCCGATCACCGGTCGCACTCTGTGGGTCACGTAGCCCCCGGTCGACCGGCGGAAGGAGGCCCCCGTGGAAACCAAGCGTGGAGACCCAGGTACCGGACCGTCAGCGTGTTCGTCATGGTGTGTGTGATTTCGATCAGTTTGGGGTCCGTTTTGGCGCATTTCTATCGTTTAGATTTATTCTTGATCTACACGTGCGACGCGTCGATGGTCCTTTTTTGGGAAGAGACAGATTTCCCTGTTTGTTTGGCGGACTTCCCTTTTTTACTGGGATACTCAGATGACGGATGTGCAATGTATGAGACAGATTGCGCACACAATTTAATTTGTTTGTATTGTGCTACATGCAGTAAAACGGTAAAACTCAT